TCTACAGTAAGATAGTCAAAGTATTTAGACAAGATGATTAAGCAAGTGAGTGAGTATCATGGTGCCGTAAAGTACTGCAAAAGGCGATAGAAGTTCATTCCCCCTCGGATTGACCGGCAGCTCACGCCTATAGCAACGCTCAACCTTTGACCTCACGCGACTGGGCGCACATGCACACTTCAGTCTGAACTGGACAACAACATCTCCCGGTCTGACCAACCAGCTTTAAGGCTGACAAAGACAAAGGCCGCTATCGGTGGCCGCTAGACTGACTGCCGCTAGCCTAAAGCTTCGAAAACTCCCCCCTCGGGGGCAGAACTACGCTCATCCAATAGTCAACCTCCTCCTACATATGCCCCACCCCTTCTGTACAAAATAAGTTCTTCATACCACTCTGGTCTCCAAACTCTCCTTCATCTTCTAATCAACCGGAACTGAAAATTGTAGTGAAAAGGGTTTTCTCTATTAACCTTAATTATTCAGAACAGTTTGCAAAACTTTGTGTTTGTTTGATTGGCTGATGACGGCCATTAAGCCAGAAATGGCCGTTCTACACTCCTTGGTCTTTGTCTATAGTGTCATACTGCCTAGATAATTAGCCACAGTGCGGCTGTTGGCAGGGTCAAATAATGAACCTCAATGCAAAATAGGATAAGCGAGTCCCCTAACGGATCTGTCAGCACTCATCTTCTAACCTTCCTGCTTACTCGCTCCTCGCTCTGAACCGAGTTCGGAACGAGAATCCTCCAAAACAGCATCATCGATTTTTTCAGGAAGACACCATCCTAGAAAATTAGTATTCGTGTATTCACCTTGACTTTTAGGTTAGTTTAAAAACAACTATCGACTAGAATGGTTTCACAACCATCTCGCGGCTCTAGGTCGTTAATAAAACAAGTTTTTTTTAGTTAAAACTCAATGTTTAGATGCTTTTAGCGCTGTCAGGTTTCAGCATAGAAAACCTCATTTTATCGAATACGAAGTGAGACATTAAGGTTATTAGGGGTTTTAAACTCCTCCTGTTACGAATAAACGTCGTCAGATGTAAAGAACGACAGAGAACAGTCATATTCTAAGGCTGTTCAAGGTCCTTTTGGTTTGGTTTTTTTTTGAAATTCAATATTCCGTTCGGTAAAGCAAAATATATGTCTTCATGCGCAAGGTCCCAGAGATTACAGACTTCCTTACTGAAATGAAAATCTCCAAAAATTCGCTAGGTATATAAATATGAGTATGCATAGGCAGATATATTCAGGGAACAGCTGTGTGTTTAACTTAAGTACTTTTGCCTACTGGAGACAGAAATGTTTGATTAGAATGTAAAGACAGCAGGGCTCATGCTCGCTGTGAACTGACCCTTGCTATTGGTTGAAGTCCAC